CCCCTGGTACCTGTTTTTCATAGGCTTTTTTGAGTTTGGGCAAGGACAGGGGCCCCATGATCCCCTATTGCCTGGGGGCCCCATGAGTTGTCGGTCCGCCCCCCTGACCACCACCTCACCATCGTTGACCACTAATAGCCCGCCGCACTACGCCATAACCACCGCGGTGCCCACAGTTGTGATGCGTTCCTGTGCGCTTGAATGGGTTTTGTTTGGCGGATTTATCGGCCAGACGCAGCGGTTGGTCACATGACAATGTGCACTAATGTGGCCTGTGTTAACGTGTGCCATGACGGTCGGGGGGGGGGGGGGGGGGCAGGCAGTTACAATGTTACCAAAGTTTTAAAAAAAAAAAAAATTGAGATATGTTTACCTGCTCTGTGCAGTGGTGTTGCACAGAGCAGCTCCGATCCTTTTCTCGGGTCCCCGCCAGTGATCTTGGCTCCTTTGTGTGTCCCCATAGCAAGCTGTTTGCTCTGGAGGCACGCGGTGTCTGCTCGCTCCCGAGCGGTCTATGGAACCACACTCCATTTGCTTGCACAGCGTGACTTAGCCCCACCCTGCTTCCTCCTGACTGCATTTGATTGACAGCAGCAGGAGCCAATGGCTGGCGTGCTGTGTGCAGAGGGGAGGAGAGATGCAGCGGTGCACAGCGCCAATCTGGTCTCCCCACTTCCCTTCCAAACAAGGAATGGGGGGGGGGGAGGGGTAATAGAGAACATTTTTATCTTAAAGCAAGGAATACATTGAGGTCAACATTTTTAGCTTTAGCAGCAGTAAATGGCTTTGAGGCTCGGGCCATGCTATGCACACTCAGGAGCTGGGAGACATCCCAGAATTGGTAGGCATCAACTGGCTCATGATGGACAAGAAATGATCTGGAGGTTTCCAAACGTTTCCTACAAGTCTAAAGTTTTGGCTTTCCATCTATTCATGCCGTCCTCCCTGTGGTCTGCTGGGGTACATAGACTGTTCTGCACCAGCATGGAGGTGGGGGGGGTGTGTAAGATTGGCCATACACAGCGGCCCTGGGGGGGCATTGTACTCCGGAGTGCTGAAAAGCCTCCATTATGAGACGTCGTTACATTCCGGCACAGGGTGGGCTTCATGTTTCCTTAAGTCAATCTTTCGGCACGTCTTGACCAATCGGTGACAGGTTGACGTCTTCTAATCTCGGAATGGAATCCAAGTTTTTCAGATGACAATGTCCTTTGTGGGGGGGGGATGGTGGCCCATGAAGGATGCCCATTGTAGTCTACAGCTCGGTAAATCCTCGTCCCTCCAATGTTGGTTGGCCTCCATATGATGGAGGTGAATGGGCACCTTGGCCATCGGATTAGGACTGTTGACTGTCGGGTCTTCACAGGTCCCATAGTTGTTGGTCTGTCAGCATTGACGTACTAGCAGGTGACCAATCATTTATCTGCTGCTCCCAGGTGGGGGATGGGAGATGTTGGGTTAGTAATTGGAGGTGTCCATAGATACCAAGTCCATTCATCCCATTGAAGAAGCCTACCTACACTCAACTGGTTTTGGGTCCTTGCTGCCCCCTTGGCACCATTGGGTTTGGTATGGCACACATCTGCTATAGGCCTGGAGAGACTGGTAACGTCTGGGCGTTGCCTATTTTACCCCCAGCACTTCCCACTCTGAGCCAGTCCCAGCACCATTTACCTGGTTCCTGTAGTGCACAGTCCTGATTGCTTCCTATATCTTGTTAGTCTTCCAGAGACAACTGCTGGGGGGTCCGTTCATATTGCCGCAGGCACACCCCCAGAACTACATCGCCCAAGAGTCCTTTCCTTGTACATGGTGGGGGTTCTTAAACCTGAAGAACGCAAAATCTGGTGCAGCTCTGCATAGAAGCCAATCAGCTTCCGGGTTTTATTGTCCGAGCTTAACAAGCTGGAGTTGGAAGCTGATTGGCCGCCATCCAGAGTCTAAGTGATCCAGTTTTAGTAAATCTCCCCCAGTGTGTTGTTGGGAATCCAGGCGGCAGCAGCATCATTGTGCTGGAAAAGATCAATGCCTGTGGAATGGTAGATGGGTGGAGTTCTGTAGTCCAGCAGATGTGCTGATGTTCCCATGTTGTAGGAATATTTATTTTGCCCTGACATGTCCTTGTAGTCCTATTATTCAAATGTAGAGCTGGATTCCTCCTCTGTTACCTCTGCAAGCTCCATCCAACCTTTATGCAACCTGAAGCTCTAGCAATGCCATAGTAACATGTCTATACAAAGTCTTGGTGCTGCCGAGGGCCCGAGGGCCAAGGGCCAAGCGTTCCCTCCCTGTCCTGCAGCTTCTGTGCTCCTGGCGGTCAGGTGCCTTCTATGCTCCATAAATTCCTCTGTTCTACCACTTGTGTCCTCCAGCATGTGTGCTCTGCCCTCCTGGCCCCCCCCCGCGCTCTCTGCCCTCCTGGCGCCGCCCCCCCCCCCCCCCGCCCCCCCCCGCGCTCTGCCCTCCTGGCGCCGGCCCCCCCCCCCCGCGCTCTGCCCTCCTGGCGCCGGCCCCCCCCCCCCGCGCTCTGCCCTCCTGGCGCCGGCCCCCCCCCGCGCTCTGCCCTCCTGGCGCCGGCCCCCCCCCCGCGCTCTGCCCTCCTGGCGCCGGCCCCCCCCCCGCGCTCTGCCCTCCTGGCGCCGGCCCCCCCCCCGCGCTCTGCCCTCCTGGCGCCGGCCCCCCCCCCCGCGCTCTGCCCTCCTGGCGCCGGCCCCCCCCCCGCGCGCGCTCTGCCCTCCTGGCGCCGGCCCCCCCCCCGCGCTCTGCCCTCCTGGCGCCGGCCCCCCCCCCGCGCTCTGCCCTCCTGGCGCCGGCCCCCCCCCCCCACCGCGCTCTGCCCTCCTGGCGCCGGCCCCCCCCCCTCTGCCCTCCTGGCGCTCTGCCTCCTCCTGGCGCCGGCCCCCCCCCCCCCCCGCGCTCTGCCCTCCTGGCGCCGGCCCCCCCCCCCGCGCTCTGCCCTCCTGGCGCCGGCCCCCGCCCCCCCCCCCGCGCTCCTGGCGCCGGCCCCCCCCCCCGCGCTCCTGGCGCCGCCCCCCCCCCCCGCGCTCTGCGCTCCTGGCGCCGCCCCCCCCCCCCCCGCGCTCTGCGCTCCTGGCGCCGCCCCCCCCCCCCCCCGCGCTCTACGCTCCTGGCGCCGTTCTATGCTCCGTTCAGTTTTTGCCATCTTAAGTCATGAGGTTGTGGATAATAGCTCGTCCATTTCCTTATTAGCTGCCTCACCTGACCTTTCACAAACTGCTGACTCACACTTTCCACCACATTGTCAGCGAAGATCCACGGCTTCTGCAAACCTGGGACCTTATATGGTGGAAATGTCATCTATTCACCAGAAGTGCCTTCGACTTTGTAGATGATTGAGGTTTACTGAGATGTTTTGTGACGGTAGAACAATGACTTGTAGAATATGTACCAAGGGTGGGCAGGTGAACCATTCACCAACTTGTCTGTTCTATAGTGAAGCTGTGCTCTCCTCCGGGGCATGCTCCTCCGTGCCGATTGGCTCCGTGCCGGGGCATGCTCCTCCGTGCCGATTGGCTCCGTGCCGGGGCATGCTCCTCCGTGCCGATTGGCTCCGTGCCGGGGCATGCTCCTCCGTGCCGATTGGCTCCGTGCCGGGGCATGCTCCTCCGTGCCGATTGGCTCCGTGCCGGGGCATGCTCCTCCGTGCCGATTCCTCCGGCTCCCTCCGTGCCGGGGCATGCTCCTCCGTGCCGATTGGCTCCGTGCCGGGGCATGCTCCTCCGTGCCGATTGTGCCGGGGCATGCTCCGTGCCGGGGGGCATGCTCCGTGCTCCTCCATACTTGTGTGTTTCCTGCAGTTCGCAGTACTGAATCTTCTATTTATCTTCTATTGGACAAAGGGAGTTCCAATGAGGGCGGCAGAAAAGGTTTGGCTCAGCTTGTCACTATTCGTATCCCATTGGTTGGTAGCCCCAGAGATATTTCTAGATTTGACATTCGTCACTAGCAGTCTGAGCCAAGATCTGTGCATGGAGCCAATGTTCTTAGAACAAAGAACAATGGCCAAGAAACATCAGTACCCCTTCTCCAGCCTCCCAATGGCCCCATGTTCACCAGGTTCCACTCTGTCAACACATGGGGCCCTTAAAGCAGGCCAGCTTGTGTTCTGTCTGGAATGAAGGCTTCCTGCACACTCAGATGTTTTGGCAATGTAAGCTAACTGGGGCAAACTGCCCGCTAAGTGACAACTTTCTTTTTACCCAGAAGTATGGTTCACCAATCAAGAGCATGGAGGTTGCATTGAATTATGAGGGTGCAGGCTCTACCAGAAACTGACATGGGATTATGAAAAGATCTGTTTTGAAGGGAACATTCCATGGTCAATGAGCTGCCATTATGGTGCAGGTTCGGAGGTGGCTCCTGGCCTCCTCTGCCTTGGAAGTCTTTCACCTGGGAGAAGGGAGGTTGAATTTTCAGACCTTGGTTGCATGGTCATCAGCCAGCAACCGTTCTCCGGTAATGGTAATGAGACCTTAGGGTTGCTTCTGATAACCTGAATGTTTGCTGCCTCTGGCTTCATGCTTTCACATACCTGGAGCAAGCACGCAGCAAAGGAAGATGGAACCTCAGAGTTCTGTATTTTTTTTCTGGGTGGTTTAGAACATTGAAGCAAGTGTAAATATGATGGCCCAGGCGCTAGTTTTATAGTAGCAGACCAGCAATGGCCGTATTTATATGTATAGTAGTATAACAACTTGTTACATGTTTGGACCTTTCTAGTCTCCAGTGTATGTCAGGCATGTGCAAAGCACTTAAAATGTTGGGCGGTTTCTTTGACAATGTTGCATCATTCGACCTCCTAAGTGGTGGGTTTTCTAAGTCTTAGAACAGAAGTGGGTCACCTGATGATCCATCCACTAGGTTGACTTATTTTAGAATCTCTTCAGATGTAGAGGTGGGGTTAGCGGGGAGTTCTTGGGAATTACCGATGAACATTGAGGTCTTGGCGCTCATATCTTTTTGTTTTCTCCTTTTTTCAGATCTTCCCAGATCCTTCAGACTTTGAACGCTGCTGCAAACTCAAGGACAGACTCCCCTCCATTGTGGTGGAGCCCACAGAGGGAGATGTAGAGAGCGGGGAGCTGCGATGGCCACCTGAGGAGTTTCTGGTGGAGGAGGAAAAGGAATCCAGCTGCGACCCAACACAGAAAGAGAACAAGGAGCAGTAACTCTGCCGCTGGAGATATAACAAATACTTTGTCATTTGGAAGTGAGGTCGATCCATGGCTCGACTAGCAATTTGTTACGGAAGAATATTCTTGATGACAAATTCAAAAATGCACCTGTGAGACTTTTTTTAAATTTTTTCTTTTAACCTTTTGTGGAAGAATCCAGCCTTCGATGTGATCAAAAGCACGGAGTCTCGAAGAAGTGTTTGCTTTATTGTCATTAGAGATTACTGTCTGGAGTTTTCCTAAACCTAGAAGCACCAGTAATGTTCCTTCAAGTTGCTGAAACAAGATGGAACTCGTATGGCAGCAAGGAAGCTAGTACAGGAACTGCTTTTTCTGCATCAAGAAGTCCAACCAGTCATCTCCTTCCACCTGAATGTTAACCCGTGCTATCTAGCAACAAGTATCCAGAAAGACTGCTTAGAGTCTGATGTCCATTAGTCTACATCAACCAAAGTGGACTTGCTGTGCAGCATGGCTCCACTCGACTTGTCTTGGCATCAATAAGTGTTGTATCTTTGTAACCAGCTAAATAGTGGAAATCTTGTCTGTGTCGATGGCAGTTTTCATCAGTGTGTACAGGAATGCATTGTTGTCACGTATTTGTATCCTGTACTGTTGCTCTGCAGTCTGTAGATCCTTTTCCAACATGAGCATCGTAGACCAATTTTTAGGATGAACCTAATATCTTTCGATAATTTTTCTGGTGAAGTAGCCACTAGGCCTTTGCAATCTGAACCATGTAGATTCAACATGACTTGAGCTTCCTGCCTAAAAGTAGGTATCCACAAATTTCATCGGGTTCTAATCTCCCTCCCCCACTTCTAGGTTTAATCTAATCCTCTGGAAATCCTGCTTGGCACTCCACCAAAGTCTTTCCTCTTAAAACTCAAGTGTTGTGTAGAAGCTCTACCCCAACTCTGATAATTCCATGGATGAGATCCATGAAATGGAAAGAGTTGGTGCAGTTTTTCTAGTCCCTCCATGGAGGATGTCCATGAAATGGAAAGGGTTGGTGTTTGGTAACTCCATGGAGGATGTCCATGAAATGGAAGGGGTTGATGGTTTCTTTGATAATTCCATGGATGATATCCATGAAATGGAAAGAGTTGGTGCAGTTTTTCTAGTCCCTCCATGGAGGATGTCCATGAAATGGAAAGGGTTGGTGTTTGGTAACTCCATGGAGTATGTCCATGAAATGGAAGGGGTTGATGGTTTCTTTGATAATTCCATGGATGAGATCCATGAAATGGAAATAGTTGGTGCAGTTTTTCTAGTCCCTCCATGGAGGATGTCCATGAAATGGAAAGGGATAGTGCACTTTAACCCTTGGAGGCAAAGTGAGTTGGCTCCTCCTTCCATGATGATCTTGGATCTTGAAAGCTTCTTTGGAGCTCTTTTCTGTTTGCCAAGCAGCATCTGAATAGTGAAAAAGTAAAAAATGTATTTGGTTTATTGGGTTGGGTAGGGGATCTAAAAGTGGTGGTTTATTGGGTTTGGGTAGGGGATCTAAAAGTGGTGGTTTATTGGGTTGGGTAGGGGATCTAAAAGTGGTGGTTTATTGGGTTGGGTAGGGGATCTAAAAGTGGTGGTTTATTGGGTTGGGGATCTAAAAGTGGTGGTTTATTGGGTTGGGTGGGGATCTAAAAGTGGTGGTTTATTGGGTTGGGGATCTAAAAGTGGTGGTTTATTGGGTTGGGTAGGGGATCTAAAAGTGGTGGTTTTAAAGTCTGCTCCTAAAGTCCACAGTCGTTGGCATGCACAGGTTTGTGTCGGTGGCCATGCCATAGACCTGAGCATGCCGGACAAATTTTGATGGGTGCAGTCATTCAGTGATGACATCTGGCGACACGTTGGCTTTGGGAAGTGATGGTTTTAGTTCTGTACGTTGATGTGCATTTGGCTTCAATGGTCCGAAGCGCAGGTCCCACGTATTGTGCTCTTGAAGGCAGCAGTCACTTAAATCCGCCACAAGACAATATTTTCCACGTTCAGTCAGCCGTGCTCTGAAGACCATTCAGAGTCTGGCATTGTTTGCCTATAAAAGAACCCTCTTCTTGCTCTCTCAGGCCCTCGTGGATGAATCTGATAAACCATGACAGGTCTAAAAATAAATGCATCCGGTTCTTTCTACAAAGTCCCACATTCACACTGCAAAAAAAAAAAAAAATGCCTTTCACAAGACCCCCGGTGCCCTTCATAGTCGGCCTTCTATTTAAAGCTTCCTCGTTTTTCCTTCTCCCCGTCCTTTCAATTGAACAAATACCTCAATCTAAAACCGCTGGTGGCTACGGAGGAAAGATTGCTACACATAGATGGTTCCGTATTCCCGTGTGTTTTCTAGAATTTGTTTTTCCAGATATAGCAATAACTTGTCTCTGCTTTGGTCAATGTAAAGCTTTTTTCCATTTGTGTATCTTGCTAGCGACGCATGTGACCTGTCCATGGAGAAGATCTTTTATCTGTAGGAATTGCGTCTTCGTCACCAGCTGATCCGTCTCCAGGATTTTGTGTTGTGATCCTGTTTTTATTATGGGCTGTTTTCAGTGTTAGAGATGTAATGGGGGCGGCGGATGACTCCTAATATACAGGGGGGGGGCGGATGACGGCGGATGACTCCTAATATACAGGGGGGGCGGCGGATGGCTCCTAATATACAGGGGGGGGCGGCGGATGGCTCCTAATATACAGGGGGGGCGGCGGCGGCGGATGACTCCTAATATACAAGGGGGGCGGCGGATGACTCCTAATATACAGGGGGGCGGCGGAAGATGACTCCTAATATACAGGGGGGCGCTGGATGGCTCTCAATTACACCAGTGGGGGTGGCAGATGACTCCTAATATACAGGGGGGCGGCGGATGGCTCTCAACACCAATGGGGGCGGCGGATGACTCCTAATATACAGGGGGGTGGTGGATGGCTCTCAATTACACCAGTGGGGGCAATGGATGGCTCCTAATATACATGGGGGGCGGCAGATGGCTCTCAATAACACCACTGAGGGAGGAGGATGGCTCTCAATAACATATATGGGGGCGGATGATTGCTCCTAATAACATATGGGGGGCGACGGATGGCTCTCAATAACACCAATGGGGCAACGAATGGCTCTTAATAACATACGTTGGGGGGTGGATGGCTCTCAGTAACATGTGTGGGGGTGGCAGATGGCTCAGTAATACAAATGGGGGCAGTGGACTGCTCTCGGAAACACGTATGGGGGGCGGCGGATGGCACTCAGTAACATGCATGGGGGCGGCGGATGGCTCTCGGTAACATGCATGGGGGGGGCGGATGGCTCTCGGGTAACATGCATGGGGGCGGCGGATGGCTCTCGGTAACATGCATGGGGGCTGCGGATGGCTCTCGGTAACATGCATGGGGGGGCGGCGGATGGCTCTCGGTAACATGCATGGGGGCTGCGGATGGCTCTCGGTAACATGCATGGGGGCGGCGGATGGCTCTCGGTAACATGCATGGGGGCGGCGGATGGCTCTCGGTAACATGAATGGGGGCGGCGGATGGCTCTCGGTAACATGCATGGGGGCGGCGGATGGCTCTCGGTAACATGCATGGGGGCGGCGGATGGCTCTCGGTAACATGCATGGGGGCGGCGGATGGCTCTCGGTAACATGCATGGGGGGCGGCGGATGGCTCTCAGTAACTCTGCATGGGGGGTGGCGGATGGCTCTCAGTAACATGCATGGGGGGGGCGGCGGATGGCTCTCGGTAACATGCATGGGGGGGCGGCGGATGGCTCTCAATGACACAAATGAACTCGTCTGTCTCCAGAAGCCCAACAGAGCGTTCAGCATCAACCAGCCCCTCAGAATTGGTGGAAGAATCGTATTTGGATTTGTCTCATTTTTTGTTTTTTGGAGTATTGTATATTTCTGGTTGTTACAGATGTCTGCGAACAAAAGCACTCAGTCAGCTGTTGTAATATAGTATACATATATATATATTTCTGTAATTTGAGGCTCAGGGAGAAGCTAGCTTTTCTTTTTTTTTTCAAAAAATTTTTTTGTCACTGTGACATTTGTAAATAAAAGTTTGAAAATTTGCTTTCCAAGCCACTGTGTAGAAGGTTTATTCTCTTCCTTGCGGAGACCCGAGCAACCGATCCACTTCCTGGCGGAGACCCGAGCAACCGATCCACTTCCCGCCTGTCAGTCCCAGTAGGGCGGGCTAGAGATTGCTATATACTCCCAGTAGGGCAGGGCTAGAGATTGCCATATACTCCCAGTAGGGCGGGGCTAGAGATTGCTATATACTCCCAGTAGGGCGGTCTAAAGGTTGCTATATACTCCCAGTAGGGCGGGCTAGAGGTTGCTATATACTCCCAGTAGGGCGGGGCTAGAGATTGCTATATACTCCCAGTAGGGCGGGCTAGAGATTGCTATATACTCCCAGTAGGGCGGGCTAGAGATTGCTATATACTCCCAGTAGGGCGGGCTAGAGATTGCTATATACTCCCAGTAGGGCGGGCTAGAGATTGCTATATACTCCCAGTAGGGCGGGCTAGAGATTGCTATATACTCCCAGTAGGGCGGGCTAGAGATTGCTATATACTCCCAGTAGGGCGGGCTAGAGATTGCTATATACTCCCAGTAGGGCGGGGCTAGAGGTTGCTATATACTCCCAGTAGGGTGGACTAGAGGTTGCTATATACTCCCAGTAGGGCGGGGCTAGAGGTTGCTATGTACTCCCAGTAGGGTGGGCTAGAGGTTGCCATATACTCCCCAGTAGGGCGGGCTAGAGGTTGCTATATACTCTCATTTGGGCGGGCTAGAGATTGCCATATACTCCCAGTAGGGCGGGCTAGAGGTTGCTATGTACTTCCAGTAGGGTGGGGCTAGAGATTGCTATATACTTCCAGTAGGGCGGTCTAAAGGTTGCTATATACTCCCAGTAGGGTGGGGCTAGAGGTTGCTATATACTCTCATTTGGGCGGGCTAGAGATTGCCATATACTCCCAGTAGGGCGGGCTAGAG